TTGCGTTTAATATCATTCTACAATTTCGCGCGAGCTTGAAGTCCTGAACGGATAAGCGGATCAAACGATGGTGAATTTTGATTCGCTAGTAATAAAGGCGGACGTCTGCGAAGACAGGTCTAAAATATTCATATAAGTTGTAACTAGGCAACCGACGGAGCATGCGCAATGGAAGCAAAACACGAATACTGCAGAGCCTTATTTTCTCTAGCCTGCGAACAGGCTCTCAAGCTGAATTGAGAGCCTGCATCGATGACTAATGAATTTGAATATCTGCCCCGTAACGTTCGTTTTTCCAAATATGGAATGTCTATCCTTATATGGTGTTGTTTACAACTTTCGTGCAAACTAAATTTAGACTGTGCAAACTAAATTTAGACTGTACAGTTTATACTGTTTTTCGAAATATAAGATATTCAAGCAAAAGTTCAAATGTTTTAAATACTGTTTTCTCAAAACAGAACATTTCGTGCTTTGAGATAAGACGGCCTAGACCAATTTGATCAGTTAATGTGTTTTTTATGCATAATGCTTCAGCAGTTGACATATATAGAGCTCAGCGGAAACATATAAATTATAGCATCTGACCAATGAGAATTTCGCGTCACGATTTGAGACGCAGATATTCAAATTTATTAGTCATCGATGCAGGCTCTCAATTCAGCTTGAGAGCCTGTTCGCAGGCTATATTTTCTCCTTTCCCCCTCGCCGAAGAAACGAAAATAAGGCTCTGCTCGCAGGGTACATGCACTGGAGCGAAGGCCCTTAATTGGGAATTGGGTGATTTCAAAGATTGTAACTGCATAAGACTTTCGACTGAAATGTTGAAGGGCAAAAAAAATATTCTCGTGTAAATCTGGGAGCAACGATACAAGTTTAGTTTAATATATAATGTTTCTTAGATTAGAAGATTACTCTTGAGTTTTCTGTGTTGGTGTAGTGTAGTCAGGTGAACAAGATGCTTGTGATGTTACTCTGAGTGTATATCCACACCGGGGGCAGGCTTGAATAATATGCCTGACCACGTTGGGAAACGAACCTACGACCTTTGGAATACTAGCCCAATGCTCTGCCAACTGAGCTACGCGGTCAGGCCGGTTCGAGTATGTGATATTTCGGAACTGAGTCTAGTTCCTTCGATAGCAATGTAAGTTACAAAAATTTGCCGTTGCATATGAAGATCTTGTTTGAGTGCCGCACATAATGTTTCTCGAGTTGTATGCAGGAAGGCATCGCCATTGTAATTAACAACTTAAACCTCACCGGCTCACCATCCTCACCACAATCATAAAAACTATGTTGTCACTATTAGGCCTATCATCATCGTCATTATCTCAAGCGACTCATGAGCATGTTTAAGAAAAATATGAATTTTATGTTTAAATGTCCTGAATAAGAAGTACCCAATAGATGTACATAAGTATATTGTTGAATATCATTCAAACACTGTGTTCCTATCGACTTTTTTCAGGGATATAAACAAAATAGCTGATGGCATTGGTGCGAAATATGGGCGTATAATATCAAGTGTAGTGTCATTCATCGTTGGTTACACCATTGGGTTTATTTATGTTTGGCAGTTAACGCTGGTTATGCTTAGTTTGTTTCCACTTATGGTAATCGTTGGCGCTATGATGTCCAAGGTAGGACGTCAGGAGATTAAGTTAGTGAAAACATCACCTATAAGGCCATGTTAGATAAGGGTATTTTTGGTGCAGTTTCGGGTGCAGAGCCATGTTATATGAAAGGTGGTCACAGAGAAAAGTGAGTATGGCTTGCAACTCTGCGGACACTTTCTTTGCCAACTCTGATGGGATGAAATTGGAAATTGAAAGAAATGGAGTTAATATATTATCAATATTAATGTGAACATGCAGGAAAACTGTGGGTGTTGCACGTAATTCCATGCGACAACTTTTTATATAACATTATTCTATGTCAGAAACTGCATTGCAAGCTAGAGCAAAAATTTCTTCCAGAATAACATGGCCTTTAATCAAGTTGAATTTTAGTCTCTCTGTAGACACTATCGCCCGTATTCTAAAAGCTCACTCACACTCACACTCAATGAGTAGAGGTTCAATCTGAGCTTCTATTGAGCGTCAATGCTGTTTTAATTTGAATAGCTGGAAGACTAGTGTCATACTTTAATTACTATGTGACTGCTCACCCTCAAGAGAAGCTCAGATTGAACCTCCACTCATTGATTGTGAGTGAGCTTTTAGAATATGGGCGAATGTCATACAGAAGGCACATTTTGCAGCAACTTGCAATGCAATTCTTAAATAGAGCCATGTTATCTGAAAACAGCATCGCCTATGCATGGTTTAGTCGGTTAGCCTTTCATCCTATCCCTTATTAGCAGTATGTTATGTAGGTATCAGCAAAGTAGGGTGCAGCCTATGTTCACAAATTCTATAAATGGCAAGCTTCAGATAACATGGCTCAGAATCCAAAATTACATTGCAATTTATAAGTTGCCGCAAAAACATTGGCTTGCGTAACATGGGCTGAAGATAAAAAGCAGAATAGAAAGCTCGAATAGTCTGTGCCGGCGCAGATATAGCGACGATAACAAGACAGCAAAGTTCTGCTTACATTTTTCACTAGATGTATCTCTTTCAATCCATAGATTTCCTCTGAAATATCGGTGATACTCTGTCATTTTATATAGTCATGGACACTTTCTTAATAAAAATGACCATTTTGAAGTCCTATTTGTCACAATATGTAAATGCACATCGGTCAGGAGGTCTACATTATGAATGTGTTAGGTTTAGTTAATGTGGAAAAAGTCTTCCGCATTTAGATGACTTTAAAGATTTACCATTTAATTTGCACGCCGGTAAATTTTATACGGACATTTTTTGAAGCGATGTATTTCAATGAGTTGCAATGTATGTTTTTTATCGTTTCTTTTTCTAATTCTTAATAAACAAGACCAGTTTGTTATAAAGTATAAAGAAATTATGACTATATATATACTTGTCCAAATGCTTCTTAAAAGATCTATTTTGTCGTTTCTCGATTTGTGAATGATAAGTTCGGTCGCATATACTTTCTGTCACGTATACATGAATAACTGTCATGATCTTAATAAATATATAGAAAATAATGAACTGAAACAGCTTGAAGGGGGGATATTCTTAATATCATTTTTGTATTTCATCGCCAAAAATGGATATGAAATCCATGCATGTTAGTCTTAAATTCGTTGTTTTAGGTGACAGGGACTTATGCCGCCAAAGAGCTAAAGGCTTATTCTAAGGCTGGTCACGTGGCAGAACAAAGTATTTCCTCTATACGAACTGTAGCAGCGTTTGGTGGTGAACAGAGACAGGCAGACCTGTAAGTTTGCAACATAATTTCAAAATTTTTGTTCAGTTAATCAAAACTGTATCTGCCCAAATGAATTAGACATTCAACCACTTTGAATTATGTTCCGATATGGAACAGTTTATGTTCCTATAACCATGAGCAGTTACGAAACATGCAACTATTTGCCCTCGAACCTGTGGCCGTGCGATTCCATGTAACGAAGCACTTTAGCCAACTGAGCATGCAAAAGTGTCCTGTAGTTGAGCTGTAACCGCAAGTTCGTGCACATTATACATGTATATACTATACAAGGTGACGCGAATGTAAGGTTTATGTGGAAATATCAGGATTTTGGAAATCTCATAATTGTTGAAGTGGGTTTTATTGACGGAAAATTATACACGGTATTGGCTGCCGTTTCTTTATAAGGTGTTCAGGCAATATAGATTTATAAGAAAAACATGGTTAATGTGAAGAAGCGAAATTAGTTGAACTATGATTAATTAATTATAAGTTTTGCTTTATTGTGTGTTCCATTTGACATGTTTAGTTATGAATCGAAACTAGATGATGCTGAGAAATATGGAGTCAAGAAAGGTTTTGGTACAGGTGTTGGCATGGGCTGTTTCCAGTTGGTGAATTACATCAATTACGCACTCTCATTTTGGTAAGATAATAAAACAAACCCTAGGATTTGCTAGTTTGGCTGCTATGTTGGGCTAATAAATGCATAGTGCAGTATGACCAGAAGTTTCGTACACTAATACTTTACTTATTTTTTTCTTTCACCCTTACCCTTTATTTTGCACCCTGCATTCATATAATTAATAATTTGCCAGTTTCTCTGATCTTTTTACCTTCTCTTTCTATTGGTCTTTATATCTGATTTTATAATGCACTTGGCAATTTGAGTTTGTATTTTTTGGTTTCATGTGTTTCAAAAAATAGCCTAATTTGGTCTTCCTGGTAATCGTGGTGCTGTAATCGGCATTTTGCCGTTTTCGCTATAGAGATAACTGTTCTTGGACTAAATTTATGTTTTTAGTATTTAGTGGCTTTGCAACCCTTGTTATCCACGACAACGCCGTAATAAAATGGCGGCGTTATACTCTGGAAGAGTAAACGTATAATAAAGTATGCTCATATATAACTGTAAACTACACACTTAGAAACGTGCGCTTGATCGGTTATTATAGTTGTAACAAAGTTGTTCTCAAGCTGTTGTTTCTAATTCTTATGACAAATCTGGAACAAGATCGTTATCATTCACTATGTTACAATTTCACTACGGTAACTTCAGACGTGTCAGTCTGTTGGCCTCGTCAATTTTGTTGTAGAATCGTATCAACTTGTTCCTGACTTTTCAAATACCTTGAACAACCACCGGAACAAATCTTGTTGAAAGCTGTGAGATGTTTCGGTCATGCGTGTAGTTTTCCAGCCGAATGCAAAATTTTGCCATTTCTGGGTTTTCAGAAGTCGCTAACTGCAGACGTGTCAGGGTCTTGGCCTCGTCAATATTGTTACGGAGTCAAATCAACGGGGGGAAAATGGGGGAACGAATCTTGTTGAAGGCTGTGAGATGTTTCGGTCATGCGCGTAGTTTCTCAGCCGAATGCAAGATTTTGCCATTCCTGGGTTTTCAGAAGTCGCTAACTGCATGCAGACGGGTCAGGGTGTTGGCCTCGTCAATATTGTTACGGAGTCAAATCAACCGGGGGAAAACAGGGGAACAAATCTTGTTGAAGGCTGTGAGATGTTTCGGTCATGCGCGTAGTTTCTCAGGCGAATGCAAGATTTTGCCATTCAATTTCTGGGTTTTCAGATTTTAAAAATTATCCCAAGAGGAAAACACCCACGCAGTTCCATACGATGGAATTCTCCAGCGCCCCAAAGTTATATTTCACGTTGTGAATATCATTAACGAAATCATGATGGTAAAGGAGTTTGTACATTTGATACAAAATCATGCTGATTTACAAGAATTTAAATTCAATTTTCTCATCAAATGTCATTCATTTAGTTTAAATTGTTGAAGAATCCGAATGTTCGGCTCGAGTTTGTATATCCAGTACAACACGGCCTTTCATGTAGTTAAATAGCCTTACATGTCTTTGGTGATCCTGATGGACAATGAATGTGCTTGTATTATTAAAATTTTCTCTCAATATTTTAAAAGGTACGTTATCAAGTTAACCCGAGAAGGAGACGCAACTACAGGAGACGGAATGTTGGTAAGCACATGGAACGTCTTCGCATAGATTATATCAGGTGTCGCAGGGGGCAGGGATCTTGAGTTTTGAACTTTGTGATGTTTTCGCATAATTTTATTCAAGCAAGGGTCGACTGTTCATCTGGGGTCAAATTTATAATTGTGTACATGCGTGAATGATTCTTGCACATAATTCTAATGCTTCTCTCAGTTTCTGTAAACTAGCAACGATACGATGTAAATACATTTTGCCAAAGTTGTCTATCAATCCCCAACAAAAATCCTCAGCTTCCTAAGATGCTTCCTCCCACTGTTGAACCCCTGGAGCTGCCACCACAGTTTTTGCACGGCAGTTATCCATAGCCGGGTTTGTTAGGAGGGATATTTAAATTTTTATTTTTATTTGCACAGGTATTTTTTGCTGTAAGCTTGGGTTCCTTGTTGCTAGGACAGGCCGCACCCAGCGGTGAAGCTTTGGCTGCCGCACAGGGAGCGGCTTTTGCCGTCTTTCATATCATCGATAGGGTAAGTTCATTTATATTTCCCGTCTTCTCTTGCTTTGGCCACGATAGAAGCCTATAGTATACACTTTTGCATACAAATTCCCATTTAAGAAATGGATTAGTCAAATTTCTGAAGTATGCTGAAGTATGTCTGATCTATTCCTGCTAGAAATCAGAAATCGATGCTTCAGAAGATGATGGCCGCAAACCAGCCGTCATAATGGGCGACGTGGATTTCTCAGATATTGACTTTGCCTATCCTACGAGAGAATCTGTGAAGGTAAGTTTTATGAACATTTTCAGGGACGCCGGAACGATAATAAGGCAAAGGAGGGCAGACGCACACCAAGGGCACCTCTATACAGGGTGTATCAAAATAAACGCAATTCATCTTTTGTGCTTAATAACTTTCGAAATACTATTTCTAGTTAAACGGTTTTAGGCTTACTTCAAAGCCTGTTCTTTTGTCTTTCAAACAAACTATTATCCTTGTCTCCAATGCTAGTAATAATTGCACAAGAAAAGATTTAGTAAAACCTATCATTTTTAGTTGCTGTTTAGTTATGCAAGTTTACTATGTTATTGTTTATAGTCAGATTAAATGTTAGAATTTTCTTATTTAAACTTTAATGTTGTCGTCACTACATCTGGAAAACCACGTAAGAACAAATTAAAAGTATTTTAAAAGAGACCAGGTTGTTTGAAAATCCTAAACGAATGCTAAAAATCGTCAAAACATTCTGGTGTCTGAAGCCAGAATGTCATCGAATTGCGATGTAATGTAAACAGAAATTATAGCAAGCTGATGTCAGTCAGCTTAGATGGTCCAAGCCAAAATTATATCGCATTTGAAGTTTCAAACTATGTTAAAAATAGTGGAAGAAAAGCCGTAATTATACTTATTGTTACAATCCATTTATTAAAATGCAACATTTTTTTGTTTTAATGAAAAAATCAGTTATTTTCATGAGAACGATTTGTTATTCCATCTCAATTTTTTTTAATCTCCAATCGCAATAGCGTAAAGTATTATTACCCGCGATCCAATGAGTCAAATTTAAGAAACAACCCACTATTAGAAAGCTGAATGGCTACGCTTTAAAATGAATGTAAACTTTAACGTTTTCGTCTATTATTTGTTTAGCAATTTACATTTCAGTCGAGGATTGCGCTTTTTTTGATACACCCTGTAGAGCAAAAGTTCAAAAAGTTCGGTCAGTGTACCATTTTAGGGGTCAAAAAATTTTCCGGACATACCAAAATTTTCCGTTAAGTTAAAAATTTTTTCTAAATTCTAAAAATTTTCTAAAATTTTTGTAAATTAAACTCATTCTTTACCAAATTCACAATTATTTTTTGTTAATTTACTTTCTCTGGGCCTATAAATTACTTGAATCTCATGATTTTCCCAGAAAAAGCATCACTGGAAATGTGATTTATCGCGTAGTATTTTGCAACTAAAAGGGCACTTCTGCCCCACCTGCCCCCTCTAGCAAAAGGCAAGGGGGGCCATGCCCCCCAGTTCCGGCGTCCCTGAACATTTTCATCACAAAGGATATACACATGATTTTCTGGTTATCCTTGCTACCAGAAATGGGATATGGGGCTCAAGTTTTCATATCTGAAGCACAGTGATTGCCGCTATTAAAATATCTGGCAACAGGTTGGTTGGCATCGTTACCAATGAAAGCACGCTGATGTTCACCAAATCTTGTACTCAAATTAAGTCTTAATTTTCTCCGATATAAAGCGTGCTAGATTAACTGCAAAAGATTATAGGAGTACACTCATGGAATGATAAATAGATATAATAATGGAATGACGTGACTGGAACTCGTCACAAAATAATTATAACTGGAGTTGAAGAGATTCACCACTAATTTTATGTTGCCAGTTGTACGAAAGCAGGATAGCGCTATCCATTGGCTATTTGGCTAATTAATTTTTCAAACTTTTTGATTTATCCGGTATAGCTGATTGGTTGGTCTAACCCATATTAATTAATAAACTTTAACAATTTCAAATCAAAGTTTATTTTTATTAATGGTGAGGTCTCTATTACTTTTGAAGCAATTGTACAACGGTTGAAAAAATCACTTCCGGTGCCATCAGGCTATCGTACAATCGGCCCATAAAGGCGGATTTCCAGTCCTCGCACGAAGCTCCTGGCAGCTCGCTGAGAGTAATGCATGAGCACTTTCATCCAATCACAATGCTAAACAGTTCAATTTAATTAGATGCAAGCACTCGCAGCGAGCTGCGAGGAGCTTCGTGCGAGGAGTGGAAAGCCGCCTTAAGGAATATAAATATGTTAGCAAGAGGACTACATTAATTTTAATATTCGAAACTTCGATACAACTTTACTTGCTTGGGTGAAAACAAAGCATCAATTGTCAACTGCATCAATTGTCCGACTCACAGTGAATGAATATGTGTATCCCTATGAATCGAGTTATGATCGATAGTACATATGTCCAGGGCCGATGGCGTCATAATTGTAAAACGGCAGAAGCGATGTTTTACAATATATTACATTTTATTGCATATTATTTGGTGCTAACCCAGCTGGGGGTTATATTCTCGATTTAATAAGCAGGCTTGTATTAGTTGGTCTCGGTGGCAGTGGTCAGAGCAAGCGCCTTTCACCTCTCAGTTTGTTGTCGCTATTGTCCGGGTCCTCCGGTTTCCTCACACAGGGAAAGTTAATAGGGTGGGTAAAGATAGTTAAGAAAGTGATATCACAATTGTCGTAAAGATAATATAATCTAGGCTAAGTATGTAATTGGCCCTTCCAAGGTTAAAGACGCCCCTTGTAAATTTACCCATGGGGAATTCCATTGCGTTTGCACCCCTTGCACCATCGTATTTCATTATGACGTCGTGAACCTTGGAAGGGTCTATTAGGTAAGCGTGTAAAACTTGATGCAAGCGCATTTGATCATATCCACGTGTACCTTTGCGCTTTGGATAAGGACCTGCGTTGCTTTCCGGTCCCTTTTGAGCTGCGGCTCGATCGAGACATAGTGCCCCGCCCTTTCGGTGGGCCTAGATATGTGTTGCATGTACAGTATTAATACTGTTACAGCAATATCCCTTCCTTTTTGAAAATGTATTTCTTATCATTTTAATAGATCTTAGCTGATTTCAGTCTAAGAGTTCCCCGTGGTAAACGAGTGGCATTAGTAGGCGAGAGTGGATGTGGAAAAAGTACAATCGTTAAGCTTATTCAGAGATTTTATGATCCTGTTCTTGGAAGAGTGAGTATAAATCCGAACAGTTGTACCTAGCATTCTGGATTCTTCACAATCTATAAAAATTTTAGCGAAAAATTTTAGAGACAAATCCAAGCGAACATGGGCTATACACACTCCAAAAACATCACTAAGCAATTGACCTGGAACTCACCCACGATGCAGCGTAGTTTCGTTTTGTTCAAAGGGGCAGTTGAAAATATTTCTAGGATGTGAAGAAAGGACTTTTTTCACTGTCTGGACCAAATACGATCTCGCGATCTCAGCTATTGCGAACCAAGTCGCATTACGATTAAGGACGTATCATTGTTTATAATGCCAAAAATTGTTGTGGGAAAAGTTGCATCGAGTGTTACACAAAGTAGAACTGGCATCACTTTTGCCAACGATTGCGGAAACCTTTTTTTAGCATAACAAGCACGCTAATTGTGGCATGTATGATATCTTCGTGTCACTTTTCACGAAATACTTTCTCACCAAATAGATTCCATTGGCTTTTATGGTTGAAAATTTGGCGCAATATAATTGCATACCTGGTGTACATGCGCTATTTTGAACCTGTACGATAATTGCAAGTTACATGAAACATATTGCTCTCTGCAAAACCAGTGGCGTCACTACTTTGGGCTCGGACCGGGCGAACCCGTGGCCAATGGGCCAAATGGGAGCCCCCAGGCTCAGGCTGTAGAGAAAAAACATTGGCCATGGTTTCTGATATGTCACAATGTCGTTTCCTGACTATCAGAATTCTGTAAAATCTCTCCCCAAAGTCGGGAAAATGGCATTTCAGAGAGTCTAGATTCAAAAATTTTCCTGGTGAGCATGCCCTGGACCCCCTAAAAAACTCATGTATATACGGCGCTCAACTCGTGCCTCTGGCACTTCTACTAGGGGTGGGGGACCGCCTGATATAACGTTACGCCACTGTGCAAAACCTCGTGCAATGAGGGGCAATGCTGAAATCGTTTCCCCCCACATTGCGAGACAAATTACATTAAAAGTTGCAACATGTACTAGCAAAGAGCTACCACTAAAGATGTTTCTTCATCTTTTCGACCATAGGTATTACTTGATGGCCAGGACATTAAGTCATTTAATGTGCGACATTTGCGTCGTTTCATTGGAGTGGTCAACCAAGAACCTGTTCTCTTTGCGACAACCATTGCAGAAAATATTGCTTTATTTGGTAAGGAGGGTGCAACACAAAATGAAATCATAGAAGCTGCTAGGATGGCGAACGCACACGACTTCATTTGCAATTTTCCACAGGTACGGCCATCTTTATTATTTTACAGTAAGCCATATCAGTACGAAAACGAGTACAATGATACTCCACGAACGTTGAGCGTTAATCCATATTTGAGAGCTTAAAGAAGTCTCGTTGACAAAATAGACGCCGTCATATATAAAGTCAATCAGTTTGTTTCAGGTTGCGAGTGATGGCGACAGTAGCGTATAGTTGAAATCACGAATGCAAATCGTTATTTAATGCCGTTCTGTATTTAAAAGACAAACCGCTGACGTCATCACTCGCCATGTATAACGGCTGGATTGACTGCTAGTTGGCCCAAAATTGAAACCATGCACGAAGATCTCCGATTTCTAGTCGGCGCCTATGATTTGGCGTAACCGTTGCAATGCTGTCGTTATGTTCCTATATATAAGTACGCTAAGTAGAGGTATTCATTCCCATGAAAATATTCAAAATGGCGATATTAACGCGGGTCAATGTCTCCCACAAAGCACTTTCTAGGAACATGGCAAGCGCATTTTGCGAATCATGGCCTAGCGGCGGTTACACTTTTTAGCTGATTTGGTCTTCGATGTTGTGTCTATTCTGTCTGCAGTTGGTGTATGCATTGTCAAAGACCTCGCTTACCTAATCTCTTTATTTCACAGCACATACATTCCTGACAATTGTACACTCCAATACCCAGTCTATAGTAATTAAACCTAAATCTTGTTAGGGAAAATTAACGGTGTAAATCAGTCAATTGAAATAAGGCAAATATGTCTTTTTGTGTTATAACTGTGATATCGCGCTTTGGAATGATCCTGTATTTTATTATATGATAAAGTTTTATTCAATTATTCCAGTTTAATTGTAAAATTCAAGGGCTTTCATTGGTTGAGAGCCATATCTATTAGAGGACAGACGCACGGAATTAGTCACAATCAATGTAGCCAGTAGCATTCGATTATTTATAGATCATGTACACGCGTGATATTTGTAAAATTTTGACTTTTTCAAATTTACAACGGTTTGAGTGCGTAAAACGTAAGCTATTTACCTGTTTAATTTGGGGGTGGGGGGAGTGTCTTTTTATTATTTAAAACAAATAGATAAGATTTTGCCGTTGTCTGTTCAGTTATAGATATACACAGTATGACCTCTGCAGTATGACATCATAATGTGGAAAGAACATAAAAGTGTTTCCTACATTATGCAGTCATACTGTGTATTCATAACTGAACAGACAACGGCAAAATCTTTTCCATTTGTCAAATAACAGGCATCAGATTTCCAAATGAAGAATAGAGATAGCGATAGAACAAAAAGTATAGTTAACGTTCTTTCGATGAGCCAGCAGAAAAATACTTATTTACTTTAATATTCATGGGGTTTTTAATTTTCTTGTTTGAAAAAGTACGTTGTTAGTCATAACGAAAGTGCCGATATAAAGTAGAATAAAATTAAACTATTTTTTATTTCAGGGCTACGAAACTCTTTGTGGAGAGCGTGGTGTTCAAATGAGTGGCGGTCAAAAACAGAGGATCGCTATTGCAAGGGCGTTGATACGAAATCCAAAAATTCTGTTATTGGATGAGGCGACTTCGGCTCTCGATACGGAAAGTGAAGCAATTGTTCAGGACGCTCTTGATAGGGTAACAGAAATAAATACTACATCTAAGGGACCGTTTATTATTTATACCTGGGGTTGGTACCGACGAGAAATCACTGTAAATTTTTTATTTACCCAACCTCAACATTGGTTAAAATAATGTTTACCCAACCTATGTGTTACTCTACTTAATAATAATTAAACACACGAGATTATTGTGACAGAAATTAAGTTGCCTAAATTCTAAAAGTTCACACACACTCAAACTCACTGAGTGTGCCAAAGCAATCACGTTCCTGCTGATCAATGATAGATTTCGATCACTGATGGTCTATTTTGGTACAGAATGTATTGTACATATTTTTCTTCATATTTTGCAATGCATGGTAATATGGTTTTATTTTAAAGCTGACAGACAGCCATAAATGTTTTTACCCAACCCATGATCTTGTCAAAAACGTGATTACCCAACCCATATCTCTTCGGTAACAACCCCGCGGAGTGAAAATAATAAACGGTCCCTAAAATACCAGGAATATACTAGTAATACTTCAGCCCTATATTGTCCTTCCTCGTGCAGATATTTTGAGCAGGAGCATCCGCTTAAAATCTCGAGGTGTTTTTTTTATTTTTGAGGGTTTTTTTTTGTATGATCACGAGGAGACGTGAAGATCATTATTTTCTTACAGGCCGAGGAAAAGTATTTTTTCTTCCTATAGGCCTGGCAGCGAAATCTAAAAACAAATTTTTTTTGTGCAAACCAAATGTTAGACTTTCTGCATGACCAGGTTTCAGATAGTGTGCTGTAGTACCACGATCAATCTCCACACATGACAATTTGACTTCAAAAGTACATTTGGAAATTGTATGGCATTTATATATAATCATAAGGTGACTAATATAGTGTTGTATATCAGAAAATTTCCTGCGAAGATATTTTATTAACAATTTTCTGTGCAGCTACCGCTGTCGCATATTTTCCAGCACTGTTTTCGCTTTTATTCCATGAGCTGCTATTATACCTTTTCAAACCCGCTTCTGGCGGTTGAAAAACGTTTACAACAATACAGTATATTAAGCAAAATTTACCAAATAAAACCTCGAGCACCATTAAATTTTCTTTTTGACGTAACTTCTCAAACATATTTTTAGCACTATTCCATTTATTACCTGCACTAAACATAGTATATTTTTATGTTCTTCGCCGTTTGAGAAATGGGAAAAAAAATTGAAATGGCAGTCATAACCAACTTGCACTTTTGTTTTGTAAACATACTTAAGTTATAAGTAACATGCAAAAAAACTTTCAAAGTTAGCAGTTGAGAAACCGATAACAGAACTTGTTCTACACTACGCCATAATGGAAAGACCGGATAAGTATATTTATGCTATATTAAAATGAATTAGCACATTAGGTAAGTGCATGTTAATGCAAAGAGTAATGCTTGGGGTCAGTATCAAATGCGCTTAAATCGTTTGCATTTGCCGCAGTGAATGCCTTAATTTTTCTCTATTTCGCTATTTTCTTTGCATTTCAAATTTTTCTAGAATTTCGGGGAGGGGCGGAGGGATTGGGTAGGAAGATACAATGTCCGAATTCTTGTAGTCCGGACATTAATAATATACTCTGATTTTATTAAGGCGGGAGAAGGACGTACAACTATCATTATTGCCCATCGGTTATCAACAGTGAAAAATGCAGACATCATCGCCGCTGTCAGTGAAGGATACATTAAAGAGATTGGTACACACGAAGAGTTGGTTGCTAAGAGAGGTCTTTACCACACTTTGTTGAAAATGCAGGTACTTGCTTTAATTCATACCCAATTTCACTACCAATTTTTCCGCTGATAAAGTGTGATTGTGCAGTAAAAATTGGAAGGCACATTTTAATTTGCAGAGTCTAATAAAACGTCCAAGATTAATTATATGTCACCTGCCGAAACAGCTTATCATCAAACTTAAAGTGCCCGAATATGCGCATAGGTTCGGCTTTGAGTATGTTGCAGCGATCAGTAGAAAACATAATAAATTACTTGAATTTTGTAAAGACAAAGGTTTGCAACTTGCACCCGAAATGTTTCTGACAAAAGTGGAGAGCTGATTGGCTTCTTAAAGAGTAATTGATACTTGTTTCAATTTCATAAATATGGTATTTACTTCAATTCTGTCAAAATATGTCAATACAGTGTTAGTTTCCTCACACGTATACGTCTGTTTCGTCTCCCAAGGTTATTATGTTTGAAACAAAAACACTTTCTTATTCACAGGAAGGAGGAAGTGATGACGGCGATGAAGATGATAAGGATTCTGAAATTGGTGAAGGTATATATACGTCTTTTATTGTTTTAAAATTAATTTTCTTCTTTGCTAGTACGTAATTACGTGGGAGAGATGATTTATAGCAACTCCTGAGATGCAATACGTTCATAATGCTAAATTTCCCTCGTATCCAAATTGATGTTCATTAGTGAGGAAACCACTGCTGTAAATGTTTAACATTTTCAGTTTTTCGGAAAAAACCCAGAATGTCTTTAATGTTTTTAATTCCTCAGGATGATTATTTGCTACAAGAATTCTCAAGAATAGTTCTTACGAAATTGATACACTTTAGTCTTTGTGTGTTAAAATTCCATATAAGACACCAAAGATTTCAATACCTTCTCGGAAACGATCGAATTTCTCTGAGGTACGACTCTAACAATCTTGAACTTGATCGCACTTTCCGCGGGAAACTGGCTTCGTGTTTGATACTTCATCATGGCATGCTTCACCTCATTGAATAGTTATATTTTGGTCATGTATTTGGTCGTATCACGTAGAGCAATGGCATGCATAAACAATTGTTAGGAACACGAAATTTACAGGCACTCCCAGAGCACTGGCAAAGAGTTTAGTCAGTAAAATAAATTACTTCTTTTTAAGAAACTGACGAAGCATTTAAACTGGAATCTCCTGGAACTACAATAAGCGAACAAATCAGTAAACGATCGCAGGTAATCTCGAATTATTTTAAAATTTTGTTAAATATATCTTTATACACTAGAATGCTTCTGTTTTTCAGAAGTGCCAGCCATAGATGAAAATACTAATTAGTAAACGTTGATTCTTTAGAAATATTAATTCGAAATGTGGAAACACGAGCAAAACAATATGGCGGCGCTTTTGGTTTAAAACTTTAAACTTATGAATAAAAACTACGAGAAAAATCCTGAAATTTCACATTGGCCGCCAGCTTCGATTTGACAGCAACGAATTAAAAGCAGGTTTTAAATTTTCAAATTTTCTCTCTGTTTATTTATATACTTTCATAGGTTTATGACGATGGTACAAAGCCGGTATCATTTAGAAGTTTGATAAAACTTAGCTCTCCAGAATGGAAATATTTGTTAATTGGCTGCTTTGGATCCGTATTATATGGAGCATTCCCGTTCTTGTATGGAAAAGCTTATGGAGGATTGTTTGAGGTATGTATTAAGTTGAACCGTCTTGCTAGTTTTGCTGTCTATAGCTTTAGTTAATGTTTGTGATGTTTATACTCCAAGTGTGCATCCACACCGGCATGGGCGTACTGGAAGGAAAAAATTAGGGGGGCGGAAAGAAAATGGCTGGCCACGGTGGGAATCGAACCCGCGACCTTTGGGATACTAGTTCAATGCTCTGCCAACTGAGCTACGTGGTCAAGTCGGTACAAGTTGATGAAAAATTGTCATATCATAGAATACACTGATATTTCGGAACTAGACTCAGTTCCGAAATATCATCAACTCGAACCAACTTGACCACGTAGCTCAGTTGGCAGATCATTGGACTAGTATACCAAAGGTTGTGGGTGACTTTTCAGCTTGCCCGGTGTGGATGCACACTCAGAGTAACATCACAAACATCATATTCACCTGAGTACATAACACCAACACACAAAATAAGCTGTAGTTAATGTTTACTTTTGTGCACTGATATTGGTGATAGCACAGAATAAGAAGGTACAACAGAAGCATAACTCAAGCAAGTATTTGTCTGTGTTTTTGCAAGCGATTCATCATCCATCACGCCATCCTGGCGAGTACAACCGACACTTTGTAGCTACCAAAACCTGATAAAAACTTCCGGTTGTAGTGGCCAGGATGGCGTGAGCGAGTTAAAATTTTTGTGGACGTAAAACAATAAGGGAACCGACTCGAGTTACACTTCTGCTATAACTTCTTGTCTTCTTATTCTTGTGGTGATAGTGTGCAGTGATGAATAGTGAAAATCAAAATGTGCAGTTGTGTTATTATAAGTATTTGTTGTGGTAAATTAGTATCTGACAGAGCCCACATTTTTGGCTTTATTCAGTAATATTCTGTATATTTATAATATAAACTAGAAAACATATGCATGCAACTACTTGCTTTGCTTGTAAAACAACTTTATTTTCCAAACATGAAGTATTTGAAGTGGTTGTCATTGTATTAACTAAGACAATCATTGTATTCTTTTTATTTTTAAAATTGAAAAAACCCAACAAAAAATTAAAATAACAGATACTGTAATAGCTGACTTTCAATGTTCAAGTCCGTCTCAGGAGAAAATTAGGGAGAACGGACTTGGGACATTCGCAGAATTTCGAATGTTACTTGCAAAAATTGGAGCAAAAATTTGTTGTTGTTCCCAACTCGCAAGCCACACCTCCGTAGGAAAAATCATCCGACTTCGCTTGTGATAATATCTTTGCTTACAAGAAATTTCGGCTTAATTAATTTTTGAATTTTTTAAATTTGCTAATTATGGCTAAAATTATTTAGACTAGAATTATATTAAATACAAACCCTTGCAGGGTCTCTTTTTAATATATAAACTTAGGCTCAATTCATCCTCTACATGTATTTCTTTCCTGTTGGAGTCTCCTTGTTGGCCTGTCTTGTAAATATGCCCTCTTACAGTGAAGGTACATAACCAAACCTTTGATTAGGTGCAATGTACTACATGCAGCATATCCAAAGTTGTATTTCTAAAAATTGGTGTCCCCCAACCCCAAATAGTCAGGACCATGTTCTTTGTCAGATGCTCCTTGGTAAAGACAAATTCTTATAAAAGGTTTACAGACTGGAAAATAATTAGTTTTATAGTTATACTTAATGTAAACTTTCCTTATGTATTATATGTAGTGTCTTCCCCAACAGAATATTTTTTGGCTGGTGGGGGAGGCTATGTCTCCTAGACAAGATGGTTTTCTACATGGAAATTTCGAGTGTAAATTTATTAAATTTATTTGCACCTGACCTGGAACAGTTACGAAAAATGCAACTACTGTACAGTATAGGCCCTCTGGCAGGAATTATAGCTCTGGTGTAGCATACGTATATATATTAACTAGCTGAGCCACAGAGGAACAGTTAGCCTGCTCGCAGACGTTGTATTGTTTACGCTAAGCGACAAAAACTAACGTCTGCCGCACATTCCATTCCCTCCAATCGGCCAATCACAGCGAACCTTCTATATTTTAGAAAGTGACATCAGTTAATTTAGGAGTGGTATAAATATAAATAAATATTTTGAAAGCAGTCGTCGGTTGAATTTTGGTCAAAATTGCACATAAATTGAATTTAAAGATATTGACAGTGGTGCCTAAATTACTTTGAATTTGTGCTCTAGTAAAAGTAGAAGTAATTAACAATGAAACGCCTTGAGTAAGAGTAAAAAGTACTGGAGGCAAAACGTACTTAAGTAAAAAGTACGAAGTATCCTTAAAAAATACTCGAAGTACAAAGTAAAAGTACTATGTATATAGCGTGCAGGGGGGGGGGGGACTTTTGCAATGGATTGACATACAAAATTAAGACACAAAACAGCACACGCATTATATGCGTGCACCATAATATGCAATATTTCACGGCATGGTCTACTTTCCAGACCCCGTTGAAGATATAAGAAATCCATTAAATAAACAATGCTTATAAGTAAGCCACAAACGAGAGATCCCAGACGGATGTAGAGGTCCTATTACCTATCCCAAAATTAAAATAAATCTGGAATAATCACGTAAAATTAAACAAATGTGACAAAGTAACGAAATACTTCGCCACAAAATGAAAATAACGAAGTAAAACGTTACTTCTTAAAACGACTTCGTTTCAAGTAAAAGTACTCCAAAAAAAGTTTACTTTGTTACATGCTGACTTCTCAAAAATTGTACTCAAGTACAGTAACGAAGTACATTTACTT